GTGTGGGTGGGCGAGGTAAGTGGGTAGGTGCTTGCGAGGCGAGTACAGTCTCAGCTGGAGTCTCCGCGCCCACACAGGCGACCACATCAGAGCCGAGGAAAAAGAGGAGCGGTCTCTCTTCTAGCTCTTAAACGAAAAGAAGCAGAAAGAAGAAGGCAAAAAAGAGTCAAATTACTCCGAGACGAAACCTTCAAATTACTTCCCTGAAACATCGCTCTCGAGAAGGACTGAGTGAGTGTGTCCTCTGAATTACGTAACGCTCTCTGCTTTGGTCCCCCGTTGCCGGATCCTTAGCCCCCTCTCTCCTTCAACCCCTTTCCCTTCCATTTACGGAAGTAGCCTCGCTTTCTCTAACTACGACCCGCTGCGCGCCGCTCCCCCGAGCTGTGTCGGTCCCGCCCTTAATCAAGCTCGTCCCGCTCGTCTCCTTTCAGGCCACCCGGCACGTCCGCGGGCCGGAAAATTAATCCTTTAGCTCGTCAAACGATATGATTCGGTTCGGTCGATTAGGCCGATCCAAAAGTCTGGCGAAGTCGTCGTCGGCTCTCTGCGCGCTGCTACGCACCTTGTCCCGGTTGTCCTCGTCCCGGTGGATGGCGGGGTCCGCCACCACGGCCACGCCGGCCTGCACGTCGATGATGGAGTCCTTGTTGACCTGCTCCAGCAGCTCGGTGGGCTTGGCGGCCTTGAGGGCGTGGTCGTGGCCGTTGCCGTGGTGGCCGTGTCCGTGGCCTCCGCCGTGGCCGCCGGCCCCGCCGCCCTGGTGGTGGCCGATGGGAGACAGGGCTGGGGCCGGAGCCGGTGCCGAGGCCACCGTGTGGATGTGGCTGTCGAGGTGGTGCTTGCCGCCCGAGCGCTCCGGGCTCCGCTCCGGGGGCCGCTCCGGCCGGGGCGCCTCCGGGGCGGGGAGTGCCGCATCCCCGGAGCCCTTGCCGCCGCCTCCACCGCCACCGCCGCCCTGACTGGGCGTGTTGACCGGGCGTAGCGGGATGAGCTCGTCCAGCGGTCTGCGGGGCACACAGAGACGAGTTAGCAGAGCGCAGCAGAGCGGCCACGGCGCCCGCGGACCGCAGGGTAGGCAGCCCGTCGCCCACGGGCGCGCGCGTGCTGCCAGACACGCCGGCAACGTCGCGCCTGGATCTCGGCGAATATCCGTCGGATACGAAGCAACTAATTGCACGAGAAAGTTTGGTACTCACCGGGGCGGTAGCAGCTGCGGGTGCTGCTTGCGGCCGGGCGTCGCGCTGCCGATCTCCGACTGGCTGCCCCTGAGGATGGCCTTGTTGGCGAAGGGGTTGTACTCGGCGGGCAGCGGTGGCGGCCGGTTGGGCGGCGCGTAGTCTGGCAGCGGGTGCGGAGCGCGGCGCGTTGGATTGGCGCCGCCGACGGCCGCCAGCCCAGCCTCCAGCGACGGCGGCATGGGCGGCGGCGGTCGCAGCGGCACCATCTCGGTGGGCTGCGGAGGCGTGGCGGGCCGCGCCGTGGTGCTCGGCGGCCCCCTGGTGGTGGTGGTGGGCGCCGCCGTGGTGGTGGGCGGCGCGGGCGGCGGCCGCGTTGTCATTGGGGTGGCCGTCGTGCCCTTGGCCACCTGTCGGCAAAGCGTTGTGGGAATTAGCACGGAGGGCTCGTGAGGGTCCTGCGGAAAGCTCAGCGCACTCACCTTATTGAACACGGCGGCGAGCATGCCGTCCAGCCCGCCGCGGCCGTAGCCCAGGCCCAGCCCGAAGCCGTGGTCCTTGACGGCGGGCCGGGCGGTGGCGGCGGCCGTCGCGTTGTCGTGCGGCGTGGGCGGCGGGGGCGGCGCGGCGGGCGGCCCGCCGCCCCCCTGCACGGCGACCCCCGCCGCCCCCGACCCGGAGCTGGTCCCCACCCCCGCCGCCAGCGCCAGGCACAGCGTGAGCAGCGGCAGCGTGGTCGGGGGCGAGGAGGGCGTCATGCTCACGCTCACGCGCTCCTCCGGCCCCTCCCTGCAAACAGAAAAAAAGGCCCACGTCAGACAGGGCGACATAGCTTTTTAAATTAACAATAAACCCGCACATGTGCGACGTCCCCGTCCGCAGTGTATAGTAGCAGGCCCGCAGTCGGGCCCTGCCGCTCGGCCCTCAAAAGGGACTTAACCGCGCCCAAGTTATCCAGCAGCAGCACAGTGGCATAATTAAAAGCTCGTGGCGTAATCTAGGTCAGAGGCGCCACAAGTTTATTGCGAAATAACCATTTCGGAACGTGGCCGCCGCAACCCGGACGCATCACTTATTTGATTTCGCAAACCGACCTCACCCGTTTCTGCGAAAACGCCCGCGAAACCGTAGAGCAGCAGCTCACCACCGAGTCAGTGATTATTATCATTCCCATGGCTAAAGAACATATACCCCATTCCGATGCGGCGGCCGGGCGCAGGCGGGCGGGGCCGTGTACCCGCACTGCGCTGTTTGCCTTTCATTTTCTCTGACTTTCGAATCAGCATGATCAGGAATTTGGGTCGCACCGCAGATAATAATCTCAGTAACAGAGCGCGCGTAGTCCGCGGCGAAGTCTGCGCAAAGAGTGTGCGCGAGCGGCCGGGTGGAGTGGGGTCGTGGGGTAGAGCAGGGCGCGGCGGCAGACCCGCCCGGCGCGCTGCGCAAACACCGGCGCGTTCATATTAAAAGCGAACGCGACCGCGCATTCTAATACGGAAGGCAACCGCCTCGGCAACCGCATGCAAGTAGGCCGCAAGAGCGAGCGAGAGGGGAAGGCTGAGAGTAGCGAGTGTGTGTGTGTGTGTGTGCGCGCGCACGTGTGTGTGAGAGAGAGAACGAGAGGAGAAGGTCGCAGATATCTCAGGGCACACACGCATGGAACGCGGGCCGTTTGGCGGGTCGCCAAGGCCACGCACGGTGAGAAAGAAAGGGGTGGGGGGGATCGGCCGACACCCTCCAGCAAATGGCGAGGTAATTGGTTACCGGGAGCACTCAGTCAATACATCTCACGCACTGCTCGCCTTTTCGCTCACCGCCTCACATTCGCAGTCACTGCCACGTTATTCAGAGAAAAGTTTTGGCACTTCCCTCTACCACTACCACACCGCTCTCGCTTGCACCTGCACCACACAATCGCAACGCTGCTTTCTCTCCCCTCCGCCCCTCCACTCTTCCAAACTCGTCCAACTTTTCGAGCCCCGCCCGCCTGCATGCTGCCCGACCACCACAACAACAACATCTCGACAGACAATCCTGTCCGGACGAGCCGTCTTGAAAGAGAGGGCGCGGGGGCGCTGCACCCGTCCCTCCACGACCCCCTCCCACCCGAGCCGGGAGAGGTTCGGCTCTCAGCGCAACATGTCATAACGTCCCCCAACTTATGCACCGTAGGATAAGGATCGACCCGCTCCTCCTGGGGTCGGGGGGGACGAGGAGTGAAGGAGGGGGAGTTGTCGCTTCCCTCACTTCCAGGAAAAAGAGGAGCGGTCTCTCTTCTAGCTCTTAAACGAAAAGAAGCAGAAAGAAGAAGGCAAAAAAAGAGTCAAATTACTCCGAGACGAAACCTTCAAATTACTTCCCTGAAACATCGCTCTCGAGCAATTGGCTTCCGCGAGCATGGTCTCTAAATTAAGTCCCCGGCAGATTGTCAGTGCTATAGCCATAGCCGGAGCCACTGCCGGCTCGGGCAGAGAGTTTTTATCCCCCCACCCCCTTACCCCCGCCCTGCTCGCTCGTCTGGGATTGAAGCCGACGCTTTCGGGCCGACCCGTAATACGCATCCTCAATTTCGCGCCGGATATGGAAACGCTAGGGAACGTTGTATTTAAGAGGGAAAAGTCAGTCAGCTGGGGCTGGCTCGACTGGCTCGGCTAGCTCGGCTCTGCAGGCAGAGGCTCCTGCGCCCGGAAATGGCAGGGAAGATGTTCCGATGGGCGTCCGCCGCGTCCGGGGCCCATCAGCCCGGCTGAGGGACGCTAGAGCTCGCGCTAGAGCGAGCACCGGGAGGGATCAGCTGCGCGCGCTCTAGAATTTCAACTTGCGGATAGCGCGCCAGAGATAGGCCCACCAGACGGGCGGTCCATGGAAATTATACGAGGGACAAAAACAAAACTTTTCGTTATAAAACGCGCGAGACGACAAAAATTACTTCGGCGAAAGCAGATTTAAGGAGGCAAACGCCGATGTGGTGGGTTATGTATATATTCAGGGGGCTCCGACAGAGGTTTTCCATCTCATTTTCCCTCCCCAGAGCGAGATGAGAGAGAGACGCACCCTCCTTCCCTCCTGTGCGATGGGGTGTGCCACGGAGTGTGCGGCGCGAGCAGGCACGTCCAAAGCCCATACTAATTACATGCGTGGAATATGAGATGAGCGCGTCACACCTTGTGAGTCGCAATGCTGGCGGTCGTGGAGAGAGAGAGAGAGAGAGAGAGAGAGAGAGAGAGAGAGAGAGAGAAAGAGAGAGATGACCGACATCATTACTCTGATAAAAGTTTCTAACGAGCGCGGGAATAATAACCACATATACGCCTCCATAAGGAACACTGGAACA